GATCGCGCGGAATGCATGTGAAAAAGTGCAATCGCGGATTCTTGCGTTTCGAGTTTCGAAATGGCAGTCGATAGAAAAATCGGCGTCGTGCGCTATCGCCTTCAGCCGTGAGCGAGCTCGTTACCTGCCACAGGCTTGATAAATGTAACGTGAAATGTAGAGCTCCGCATCTTGCATTTAAAATTCCTCGTCGGTGATGGTACTCACAATTAGAACTTACAACTGATTTGCATAGAACTTATGTAATGTAACGTAATTATTAGCGACTTTGCCTTTTAACGTTGGATATGGCTCACAGATTTATCAGAGTTATCAGAATTTCAAATTCTCATTTTCGCGGACCAATCTTCAAATTTGTAAAATTTTCACGCTCACATTGTTGTTACTTCAGGCGAACCGCTTTCGATCGCGTAATCAAGAGCTACATACGAAAGATGGATGGAATTTCTGTGTTATACCGAAGACTCGCATAACAAACCGACTTGCTGGTACTCGCTGCTCCATTTTGAGATATGCCTCGGCTTTACGGAACGCCCGTATTATCCACGGAAATTGGTTCTAGCGAACGCGAGGTCAGGAAAGACCGTGCCGACGCGAGGATCGCGTGCAGGACCGACTACTCATCCACACTCACGTATTAAACATAAGTGCCACTTACCTATGCCTGATCTTCACGAGCCGCGAGCGTCTCTTCTTCTTCCTCTTCGTTTTCTCCTTCTATTCTCAGAGACGCCCCGTGCTTTCTTTCCCGCCATTCTTCCTTCTCGTATTTCAAGATCCCTGTTGCCGTTGATTACTTTACCTGCCCTTGTTGCCATACCCGTTATACTTTCTCATTGCTATTTTCTTTCAAATTTTTTTTCGGTTAAGGGCTATAAAAAAAAATGCTTATAATCGAAATGTGCTTTAATAATATATATCCTTCGATTCTTAACACATAAAGAATTGTTTCTCCGTAACGAAAACATTGACAATGCGAGTGGGCAAATAATCGTAAAATAGAATTGTCTCTATTTTCTCTTCTTCAAATGTTATTGGAAAAAAATAATTTACATCTACATACAAAATAATTTTTGGTAACACATTCATCATTTATATTTCCAGGTGACTGATCTCAGCCGACAATATATACGAATAGAATTTATTACTCGATAGAGAAGACTATTACTATTAGCTCACGATCTTTTCCGCAGTAATAAATGTTAAATAAAAGATATTATTTATTAAATTGATGATATTTTTTACTTTTAATAATATAATTGTTAAATGTTAGATTACCTATCAATGCGTAAATATATACATATTGTTAATGAAATTTTTTTTCACATAAATCAATAATTTCATGCAAATGCTCGCAATAAGAATTAACTAAACTTAAAATAACAACTATTAGTGAATTATTATTCTTAGTTGTCGTCATTTCGTTATATTTTTTATTGCGAATCTCATCGCGGAAAATCGTTTCTTTATTTTATGTCCGCCGTTCATCTTGGTATACTCGATTTGAAATGCAAGCGAGTAACGTATGAGAACGAGCATAGCGAAAACTCCCAGGCTGCGGTTGAGCCCTTTTAGTCGATCACGTTGCGCGAAAGAGCCCGGGAAGAGGGTGAGGGGATGCTTCATTTTCACCTGGAGTTACCTTTGGCACACAATCATCCGCCATTAAGGCCGTCTGCAAAAATATCCAAAGCACCGGAATATCCCTTTACATGAGACGGTGGAGGCGATCTCGTGGTATAACCCGTCCGCCCGGGTATATCACGAGCAGCCCCGGCATCTCGCGGCATGATCTTTCGAGATCGGGAGGGAAGAGGTCGGGGATCTCGTGGGCGGACGGCGGGGAGAAAGAGGGAGAGACAGGGAGCGTGAAAATAAGACGGAGTCGGGAGGGACGGGGGGGGGAAGAGAGGAGGAGAGTGGCGTGTCGGGAGGGAGGACGATGAGACCAGGAAGGAGGAAGAGAAGTGATGGCGAGAAAGGGAGAGCGACGAGTGCTAGATCTCGGGCAACGATCGGAGATCATCTTCCCTCTTCGGCCGCGTTCTTCGTTCTCGATCTTTCAGGTGGAGGTAGCGAGAGGGCGAAAAGAATACGACAAGACGCCGCCGCCGCCGCCGCCGCCGCCGCCGCCGCCGCCGCCGCCGCCGCCGCCACCGCTGCCATTATCAAATTATTCACTCACACCGAGCGCTATCTATCTTCGAAGCAGCGCGATCATAACGTGTTATTATTTGATCCTCACTTTGTTAGCGATCTGAGTTTAACAGCCAGTCGAGAAACGATATGTACCTGGCAGATCCTGCTCGCCCGAGATCTGGAGTACTTCTCACGATCTCGCGCGGCAGCTCTTCTGGTGTGGGCGAGCGGGAATCGCATGCCAGATAATATTACATGAATCTTGCGCGCTGTGTATTCCGGTTCGAATCGGAATTCAAACGTGCGCGCTGAAATCGAAAAACGCCGCGAGTAATTCGTAGAGATCTCGGCTGTCGATCGCGTTGATCGTATACGGGAATGCGTATGTCGATCCGTGATACCTACCCACCGGGAAATCAATTTCAATCCTAAAAAAATCTCGCGGTGTATAAAGTGACTAAAGAATAAGATTAGAAAGAAATTGTTCCTTTTCGAGATATTTCTAAGATCCATTTATTATTTCCGATCGATCAATTTCGAGACTGCCACGGTGAACTTGATCTTTGGAACTTCTCGCACGACTCGCGTAAATCTTTTTAGATTAGATATGCAAAACTGTGCGTGCAAGATATATAATTATCAATATCTATAGCGTTTGAGCAGACTCTAATTGCTTTGCGTAATTCTTATAATTGTGGATGTACACGTTGGTCGAGATGTCGAAAGATGTCTTAACACTTCAGTACAATCTCAAAGACTTTGAGACAATAAATAAATCACGGTCAGCCAATGTACAATATACGTGATCCAATTCCACGATATGTGTAGCCAGATAACGAACCGACTTCCAGCCGTGACGAAGTTGGACGAAGACACTCGTCGAGAGAACGTCTCGTAGATCAAGGTGATCCTTACGTTTCACGATCGATTACACAAAGTTGCCGCCAGAGCCTTGCAGAAAATAACTTCTCGGCTACGTTACATAAAACATATCGCATGTGCGATATTAGACAAACATTGTAAAAAAAAAAAAATGTGATGAAATCTCACTTCGGTCGAACATGCATCGAAAATCGCATGCCGAAGCATGCTCGACTTACCTATGGAATGCGTTTGGGCCTTATAATGGCGGCCTTGATACGATGACGTAGTCGGATGATCTAAATCAATCGAAGTCATTGTTTGGCAAAGGACGCGACTAATTCTAAAACGTTTCTAACGATCTCTCTCTTTGATATTCGGCCGGCGTGCGCGAAATGGTGGCTTGGACTGGCGCAGTGTCCGGTCGCTTGTCAAATTCGATCACGTAGCGCTTTAACGCTTTACATTGAACGGCGCGCGTGCTTTGTGTAAGACGATGCCCGTAGGGGAGGCTTTGAGTGTAAGCGCGAGCACTCGAGAGCGCAAGAAAGGTGCGTGCGCGCGCATAGATACGACGAGACGTGGGTGTCGAGTCGTGAAACAAAGTAATTTCCAAGGGGAGAGAGAGAGAGAGAGACCTTTCTAGCTCCTTGATGGAATTTATGGGAGACGCGCGATCGATGACGATCGGACGTCGTCTAAATAATTTCGAATTGCGACGATTGCCCGATCGATTTGCTCATTCACCACGATGTCGTCTTTGAGCGTGATCAAGTTTCCTAAGACCGAATAGCGAAAATTGAATTCTTTCCAAAAGAACGATAGTTTAAGCTTAGTTTTCTCATATTTATATTAGTAATTTCGTCTCACTTATTTGGGATTTCTTATGTAAACTTATTTACTACTTTTTCAAATAGTCATTTTTGTAGTTTCACAAGAAATTATTGGAAAAAGTTCGACGAACTTTTTGGGGAATTTTTATGATTTCTTATAGGATACGTGTTGTGATTTTGAGCCAAGACGTGTGCTGAAGCTAGTATACGAGAATATTTCTACAGAGCATTAGGTATTCTATTTAATACGATCGCTAGTTCGATTACCAAATGTTCTGACGTAACGGCAATAATCTACTAATCAGATAACGTTTCCGTAATATCAATGACCGAATTCAAAATAAATTCTCTTGGGAATTTTTATTGGCGTGGCGATGGGCTACGAAATCGGAAAGCGCGTCACGACACGTGTAATATCGAGGAAGTTCGAAGAAAAATTACGCCATGGTGTCGGTCGGGCGGGCCATTATTTATCCGCGCTTCACCACGCGCTTTTTCGTCGCTCGAATAAGGAACGTGCGAGGCGATATGTCGAACGTGGCTCTCGACCGGGACTCGCGCCCGTGAAAATCAATTGATATGTGTCACAGCGCACCGAAAGCTTCCTTGAAAACGCACCGGATGCGCCGAGGGGGTTCTCGGGCGCGGCGACGGGCATTGTCTCCGGGACTCCTTCTTTTATCCGACCGACATGTCGAATGCTGGATGCATAATAATTTATTGTCCCATCTCAGAATTCACTATCCGCATCCACGGACCCTCTTTCTCGCTTCCTTTCTCCTCTCTCTTCGTGCTCGCGGCGCCTGTTTGGCGCCCGTTGGGCGAGAACATTTCCGACTGCGCCCCAACGCGGGAGTGAACGGAGTGGTGAATCGACGCTTGTGTCAGGATGATTGTGCCCTGGGTAAACGCGGTATCACGTGAATACGTCTTTCTCAAACCGTCGAGATCCACAAGTCCGTTCGACGGAGCGCGTACTCCTCGGTAGGAAAGTAATGGTTCACTCCCGCGGAATGAAATGTTCCGCTACGTGGCGGCCAATTAGATAGGGTGATTGATTAACGCTCGAATCGCTCCGCGAAATAATGATAGGGCACGCGTGTACACGCGCCGCGAAACGCGTTGCGTTTTCGAAGGAAAGCGAGACTACGATGGCGCGGGGGAGGAGAGGAATGCGGGATGCTGGTGGCTCGCGGTGGATCCATTACAGCGACCGAGCGGGATGCGCCGGTGTGCGTGGGAGTTTGCGGTTCTCCATGGATGACCAGGAAGTGGGTGTTCCCGCACCCCATAATTCAGCGTTCGTGCGCGCGCGCGCGTGTGTTTGCGCTCGCTCGCGTGGACCGGGCCTGCTCGCAAACCGCGACCAGCCCGATTCGCGTCTCGTGTCGAAAGTCAGATCGAATGAAGATGTCGGTGCTGACGCACCGAGAGCCAACGTGGAAAGATACAAATGCGCCTATGCGAGCCCGCGGTTATAACAAATCGTCGACGCGTTGAGATGCCGCGGGATCAGAGGAAGTGCGTGAACGGCACGCATGGCGAGTACGCGCGTACGTGCGTGCGTGCGTGCCTGCGTCTGACGAGATCTTTGACAAGATCGCGCGTAATTTTCAATGCGGTCGTCGTCTTTCCGTGCGATCGCTTCTTCGATGTTACCGATCGATTCGATTTTATATCCGATGCTTTGGGAAATATTCTGATTGATTTTCTGGCCAGACGTCCAGCGACGCGCTAGATATTCATTATAATGATTTTTACTCTATTCATATCTACAAGATTTTGTCTCATTATTATTTGAAATAAAATCAATTCCTTTGAAGATTAAAAAATGTTACATGTATTCATTTTTTTAATATTAGATTTGTTCAATGTATTCATCTTTCCTGTTTGTACTCTTGTTTTTGTGAAACTAAAATAATAATAAAATTCTTAATACAAGTATCAATTTCTTTAAATCTTTTGCTTTGAGATAATTAAAAATGCAAAATTATTTCGACTTTTTAAATATAATTCTCATATATAAAATAAAAATAGAAAAGAAGAAATTAATGTATTTAAATGTATTTAATATGTAATTTAAACTATTTAGCTACATAGAATATAATTTAAGATATATATATATATATATATATATATATATATTGCATGATTATACATAGGGGTATTGTTGAATGCGAATGCTCGTGAGTGAAATCCGGACTAATTGCAAAAGTGCTTGATCTAGATGATGCCCGGTAAAAGCGGCAGGTATCGTTGACTTCCAATAGCTACCCGGATCGATTCTTGATTTATACCCTTGGTAACCAGTCGATATTCGTGATCTCAAACGGGATTAAAAATGTTCCGGCAGATAACAGCGAGCAGGAGTGGCAGAAAAGGAAGCGCAAAGTCGGGACACAAGGCTGCGGCGATCCGGACGAGTGAGGAAGAGACGAGGCTATTCTACGATCGGCTCCGGGACGCTTTCGAGGCCCGATTCGAACAGGCGGCTATCTATGATCGTGCTGGCAACCAATTACGTTTCCTGAACCGGAAAACATCGGGTCGGTATGTATTCCACGGAGGTGCACCCAGAGCCTCAAATTATAAATCAGACGATAACCCCGTCGGTTTTCTTCCTCCGACTCCGTTCCTCGTTTCCCTCCCACCCTCTCTCGCTTTCTCTAATCTATCTATCTATCCATCTGCCTCTCTCGCTCTCTCCTTCTTCCTCGCTCTACCTCTCTTTCTCCCTTTCTCGGTGCCGTGGCGTAGGAGAGAGGCTTCTCGTGGCCGATCGCGAGGGCTTTTAAGCTCGTACATCACCGTGTGGGTTACGCCCCCCGTATTTGCTTAGTCGTGCAAACGGGGAGGCGCGGATAAGGGCCGAGATGAAACAATTAATAATCCCCACGAGGCCACGAAACACCAACACCATGGGCCAGATGTTTCAGCTCCGTGACGTGCTTCTTCTTCCTCCTCGCTCTCCCGTCTCCTTCCTCTTCGTCGCGTTTATTCCGTTCACCGAACGTTGCCGATGTGAACGAAATAAAAACGATGTTTACGCGAAATTTAATATAATTGATGAAATGCACACGGTATGGCGCATTATGAAACTTTCACTATCGCGTCTTTCCGCGCGTAGTCGCGAATTTTGTGTGGGCGCTACTCGTATGCAGCTGTATGCTGCTTGTTAATCGTAGAAAACTCATCGATTTAAAACACTATATATATTTATGTTATATCCGAGAAAGTGCAACGTGATAGACGATGACGCAGTCACGATTTATCGAGCGTAATCGGGCCATTGAAATGCCATTTTTTTACAACGGAAAAATGCAAATGTATGGAATTAGCATAGGCGCCGGCTTATATCTTTACATATCATCTACAGCTGTGCATTTAAAAATCACGATAACAAAACGTAATTCTGGCGCCTTAGGCCAGTGCCTTTCCGCCATCGCGGCTTCGACATGGTCACTGGTGTTTTCAGGCCACGCATAGCGAGAGCACGCGATACCGGCATTTGAAAAATTACGCTACCGCAGGGTATACCTCAGTGTCTGCTCTCGGGATATCTTAATTATCAAGCAAAAATTAATTACCGTAACGCCCACTGCGGCTGTACGCCCGGACGAAGGCGGCAAGGACTTTGCCGCAGGCCGTTCGTGGGAGTGTCGGGTGACTCGCGCGTCATCTCGCAAAATGCCACAGGACTCGTTTTTGGACTCGTTTCGGAGCTATCTGTCTTTCCGTCCGTTCTCTTCCGTTTTCTTTCTCGTCGAGGAATATGCAAATGTGCGTACGTATGCGCCATAAGCGTGCGTGTTAAAGATCCTCTTTTGCGAGAATCGTTTCACGACGTCTCACTTGTAAAATATCGCGTTCAAATATCACCCGATGAGTCGCGATTAACTTTCATCGCACGTCGTCTTTTTTTTCCATCCATATGAACCGGTGAACTATGAATCTCTCTCGTTCGGTGGGATAGTAGGAGCGAGACTAATCCCCGAATTATTTTACGTCTACGGAGCGTAATTCCGAACTACAATATTGCGCGATTCGAGGGAAATGCACGGGAATTATTAGACGAACTCGACAGTGCCGCCGCGCGTCGGCCGGGACGCTTTCGTGGAAGCGTATCAGCGATACCGGCGCGGCATGAAAGAGAAGAGTAACACGAGTAATTTCAACGATGGAAACGGGGCCCGGCGCTCGCGCGGCGATCCCCGGGTGGTGTGGGAGTCTCGGCTTTGGGTTCAAAGGTTCGCGATTATAACATTCCGGGCATGCCGTTTCGTGTGCATCAATTCGGTACGCCAGTTCCCTCTTTGCGGAGTTCCCTCTTCACAACGCCGCGTGCGCGAGCGCGAGCGCTTCTCTCCCTCTCGCCCTTCTCGCTTGCCCTCGCACTTGCAGTCCGTCCCAGACGAATGCGAAGTTTCCTGGAGGCGCATCACGCTTGTACCCTCCCCCCGCGCTTATGCTCGAGAGAACGAGCGTGCGGCCTGATCCTTCCTTTCCAGGAAGGACCCACTATCCGGGAATCGGTAAACGCTCTCACTTACTTTTCCTCGCCCCCTTTCCCTTCCTTCCGTTGCCCATTCATTCGTCAATTGCACAAAATCGTTTCTGGAATTGTATAAGCATGGGATTGCAACATTGGTCAGTCCTACGTTCCATTGTTCGTTAGTCCTCACAGTTTGAGATTTATTTGCGGCGTTTCGAATATGTGCAATGAACGTTTATCGCAAGTCTTGTGAAAATCTTGCGATACTTAATTGTAAAGATATACACAATTTATAGATCATTGCGAATTCGGCCGATCGAAACCGAAAACAGAAAAATAAGGGTAAATAACGGTATTAAAGATTGCACGAAAGGAATTTTCGATTCTGGACTTTAGCTCATGAGAAATTGTTCAAATTGACGTAAGTCGAGATCACAATTCCGATGTTAACTGCATCTTGTACCCTGCAGCAGTGTATATACGATGTAAACTGGATCAACGCAGAATTTATAGCTGACGCTATTACGTTTTATCCAATGGCTTTATCGCTCCATTGTTCCGTAGCGTTTTATCGAGCCGGTAATTTAAACGCCCGAGCAAGCGAGGTCGCCAATAGCTCGTCGTCGACAGCGGTTGAAATTTGTAAGCGCAAAAAAATGTATGCTTAATTGACAATAACTTTTATTTTTTAAAACACATTAACTTTCTAATATTTTCTAAAACTTTTTATCTTTCTAAACGCTAACATTCTTTTCCCTTATTTTGAAAATTAGACATTCTGTCTTAAATTTATTTGATATTCTGTATCTTAATAATATAATAATAATTATCTCATTATTTAAAATAAGCTATTTAAAGAAATTTAAAGAAATATGAAATTTCAATTTAACATACATAATACCTTTTAAAATTAAGTTTTAATTTAATTTCTTTTATTATAATTATTATAATTATAATTTAATTTCTTTATTTATCTTTATCCAAATAAATATTTTTTATTTATATAACTTCTAATGTAACTGGCTTAATTTTGTAAATCGTTAACTTTAAATTAATTTTACTGAAAATAAAACTGATTTATCCAAGTCCGTTAGAAAGATTTAATTGCTATAAAATACTTCGGAAGGCATTATCCTATTGACGTTTTCTAATGTAACGGCATCGAGTACTTCGCGAAGGTCATTTCGCGCTTCCGCGGGAGCGACGCGAGTGGACCCATCAGGGAAAAGCCCGGCTGTTCTCTCGGCCGCGGTTCGAACTTGCGGTAACGCGGTTCAGTGATGGGCGCATAAATAACGCGGAAAATGGACGACAGCGACAAAGCTGGCGCTGATTTCGCTAGTAAACCCAGCGGCGCGCGAGCCGCGGCGATCGGGCAAACGGCCTACCGAGATGGATTTATGCCAGCGTCATTAGGGATTAATTATACGCCTTGTCAGGCAGCTGATGCCTGCTCTAGCGACCAGAGATGGCCCCGCTAAGAGTTGCTCCCATCCGTGGACCGTGGATAGAGAAGGCTGGAAAAGAAGAGGAAGAGGGACGAGGAAAAGGTATGCGCGGAGAGGAGAGAAAGAGGAACAGAGAGAAGAACTTTCCTTCGAGCGTGCCTACGTTCTTCCCTCGTGATTTACACCTCGGCTAAATCGTATGAACCGAGAGGCGCTGTCGCTTGTACGCAAATCTTATACAAAGATACATCGTTATGTCGCGCCCGTTTGGGATTCGCGTTCGACTATCATTCCACGGAAATCATCACAATACGATCCATGAACGACGCGTTACGCAACGCACGTGCAATTATATGGCCAAAGATGTTTATCCCTCCAGCACCGTTAGAATATCTTCCTTAAGGGCTGTGCAAATTCTAAAATAGTCAGAGCTTATTCCGTTCGTTTTAACGAATAAGAGAGATTGGTTTGACAAATAAGAATTTAAAACGCTTCCTTCCGAATTATAAATTTTGACAACTTTGTTATTTGAACTAGAACGATAAATCGTAGCGTAAGATTTAAGAAGATACTAAGATTTGCGAAATTATTCTACGCACGAACGGAAGGAGGCTTACTGGATGATATTTCGGGCATAACGGGTTAGACAATCCATGGAAAAGGAAAAAGGTAAAGAATACGCGGAGGACGTGGACCTGTAGGAGACGCGCACCGCGAAAGAGAGAGAGATATATATATATATATGAAAACGCACCCATAAGTGCCGCGCGTTCTAGACTCACGTACTTCCTTAATGCCGAATGCGCCATCCGCTTCCTTGCCATATAAGTTTCTATCAAAGGCCCGGATCGTACGTAATCCAGAAATCTGCCGCGTGACCCCATGGGAATACGCGCTCGGTGAAACTCACGCACGTCCTCTCCCTCGCCTCCCTTTCTTCTCGGCGTTCGCGATATGCCCGTGGGCTCTCAAACGGGCGAAACTGCGGTTGACTCATCGCTTCTCGGTTATATCGAGATTAGCTCTCTTTGAGAAATTGAGGTCGCTTCTTTGATGACATGCGTTTAATGTGTCTAAGCCGTGCGTTGAAATTTAATTCGCGATTTTTGTATATTAATTTTTTGCTATTGGGAGATAGAGCCGAATAGAGAGAAACGTTCACCTTTAGCTTTGACGTCAAACCTTTTCGTTAATGCAAAACGCATTGTTTTCAACATTGAAACAAGAGTTAAGATACGAGAGTCTGATTACAGCGGGAGACACTCGCTTATTGCCCGCGAGCGGAAGTCACCAAGATATTTGACAAAATGACAAAACTTAGAAGTTAGTCTAAATGCTCATCTTTACGGCGTAGATAATCCATTTCCTGAGAAAGTCAATGATAGTACGGTCGATACTAAAATAAACGTTGCGTTACGTTTTGTTCAAAATCATTCGCGGTTTTGTCCGTCCGGCTGCCGCGTCCGTCGCACTGATCGCCGTTGCGAGCGAGTAAATTCTCCTCTTGATCCACTGTTTATGCAATATGATTGATGAAGTTGCATTAATATTTTCGTAGCAGGGACGGCACTCAATGCAGGTACGTCGATGCGTACATGGCACGAGGGCAT